CCGGCTGGCTGCCAGGCCGTGCCGCCCGGGCGCTGCGTGCTGGCGGCACCAACTTTCCCCCCTCCCCCTTCCCTCGAAGGGCTCTGTTCTCCGAGAAGGGGTCGCTCAAACAGGAGCCAAAGCGGCTGTTCACAGAGGGACGGAACCTGCCCTGCCTTATGCTCAGGAATGTCTCTAACAAGATGAGGGCAGTAAGTGAAAGTTAATAACGGAGCGGACATTATGCGTTTCTCTAAACTGTAGCTGATCTTATATCAGCTGCATGCAAGGGTTGCACTCAGGTAGGAGACACTGAGGTTCACAAAATAACAACATTGGTAGGAAGGGGGCCTACTGTGAGCCCGCATCTGCAAAAGGTCTCAGAGAAACCATGCTTGAAGGATGATGCCAACATTTGAATATGCAAGAGCATGAGAGGCATACTGTGTTCCCAGCTCTGTAGAAAATTACCTGAAACTTTTGTGTCTGTTGTATGTTGCTTTTAACAGCCTAAAGTTACTTACGTTTAAGTTTACAAAATATATTGTTCAAGAAAGTATTAATTTGGAACTTTTCTGTTGGCTGTTGCAGTAGGCTTTTGTGAGAAGATGAAGTATGGCTTCTTCTTCTCACAGTCCTGAACAGGACAGGTACATATTTTGAAAGAACACATCTGTCATTTGCTTCCTAGTACAGCAGATGCATTAAAAAAAAAGTAGTTTATTTCCTCCCTTGTTCTTTTAATCATCATCTGCATGGGAGAAACAATATTGTGCAGTACAATTGAAACCTGAAGCTGGTTCGCGGGGTGTGATGGGTCTTTTGCCTTAGTTATAGATCCTAGTGTGCCATCACTCATACAGCTGAGAGTTGGTTTTCAGCTTACTGGGAGACCAGTGACATCTGTGATCAGATTCTTCATCCCAGTCGTGCTTTTGGGTTAATGCTTGTCACCCAGCTGAATCTGTGTTTCAGAGAAGCCTTCAAAATTACATTTGTGGTGATAAGCCTTCAAATGTGGCTGTAAGAGGATTTTTGGACGGTTAAATAGTGAAAAGCTTTATTGAGCAACAGTTGGATTTTTGCAGAATGAGTTGCTTGGAAGTAGGGAGGTGCAGGCTGTCTCCATTAGGTGTTGAAAGCCCTGCTGTGTAAAACTACTCGCTTCTGGATGGTCTGGAGTGGTCCTGGAGGCTAGAACACACAAATGTTTCTTAGACAGCCTTGTATCCCGCAGCGACTGCAGTATAGGTGAGGCCTTTGAGATAAACCACACAGAGCCTTATTTAAATGCAATCTGCACAATTATTCCATAAAATCTTGTTTTGGTAAGTTATTAATCTCTTTTGTCTCCTCTACCTGAGAAAATCCAGACCCTTAGAGAAATGTTTGGTAGCCTTTTATTTGATACTTGATTAGCTTTCTGAATAGGTCATTCTCAGGAAATATTTTTGGTTGGTTGTTCTGTTGGGAGATTGATGTTACTGTCTCCCTACAATGAAAACCAAAAATAGCAGAAATGTCTAAATACTCTTTAGATATTTATTTCCCTTTCAAGTTTTCTTGCTTTCCTAAAGAAACTGGATTATAATAGGCTTGAATCAGAGATGTAGGAGTTGCTTTTTTGCATTGGTGCTTTGAATCCCAGGAAGACTATGACTCTAACTCAGTTTGGCCTCCAAAAAGGTTAGCAGAAAAAAATGGAACAAAAGGAATTAAACCAGAACAGGACTTTTCTGTTTTAAGAAGGACTTCTTCAGAAGCCTGCTGGGGAGGTTTAGGAGGCCCACTTTGTAAAAGGAGAGGACTCAGTCATTTTGTGAAACCTTTCAGAATTTTAGATCTTTTGGATCTTAATCATCTCCTGTGATGTAGATGTGGCATTGATGTGTTTTCAGCAGAGGTGGTCTCCTTATAGAGAATTGCTCCTCTGTAACCTTCAGAAAACACTTCATACCAAGACTTATTTGTAGAGCCTCATTTGCAGCAGTGTTCTGATGTTTATATTTTTCAGCATACTCTCCACATAGCTTTTGCAATTGAAACCCAGGAAATGAAGGGAGGAGAATTTTTAAAACATACACTTGTCAGAGCTGGTTCTATAGGGGTTGAAATTTGTAAGGATTACTTATGGGGCCTGGAACTGCCTGGAAGAGATTTATGTTCTTGAGTTAGCAGTGATAACAAAAAAGGAAAAAAGCAGGAGATGTTTGAAGTCTTCAACAGTCTGACCACAGAATCTTCAGTGGAGGCTTCAGCCATTTGGGTTGTAACATTAGCATGTGTATTTAAAACCAACCAAGCAAACCCCAAACAACACCACCAAAACCAAACACCCTCTCCTCCTAACCCCTCCCTACAGACCCCCTTTCACCTTGTCCCCAACAAACCAAAATAAACAAAAAAACTCCCTTGTGGCCATTAAAAAAAATCTTTGTTGTATATTCTCTAATGGAAAACCAAATTAGAGATTTTCTTCCTTCTGGCTGAATAGTGAATTCCTCTGCCTCCTCTGGTATTATCTCATCCTACACTGTGCTGAACTAGGCAGGTGATAATAAAGATTTCTGTTACACTAGTGAACTAAGACCTAGTATTTGAAAGAACTGTCAAAATCTGCTTTTATCTTAATAAGAATTAACAAACCTGCTTTCCTGAAGACCTAAGAAAGACTGTTGGTTATTGTGGGCTAATAAGGACTCACTGAAAAATGATGAGGCTGCTTGTTTAACTTTCCTAAACAAGGATTATTTGGAGGAAAAAAGATAAACTATAAATGTTTTACCTGGGAAATGTGTCAAGTAAAGACACTATTTATAACAGTAATTTGGAATGTACTGGCCAATGTTATTTAGCAAGATTATAAATGAAAATTAGCCCTGTTAATCTGGGATTTTGGCTTCCATAAGTTTCCATTAAAAAGCAGGAGGTGCCGTGCTATGCTTTTTTTCAGTGACATAATAAGTGGGCAGATTTCTGTACTCTTGCTCTTTTGGCTAACTTTTCCAGGAAGTCTAAAATTTATTTTTTTCTTGAGGAGTAATAGTTCAAAAATACATGTATACAATTATTTGATGTGACTAATTGTTTTTTTCCTTTTATCTTGCAGCAACGCACCTCTTGCTTTTTCATCCAAAGTATGTTATATTAAGTTTCGTGAAGCATCGAGTGTTGGTGTGGCCCAGCATCTAACTAACACGGTTTTTATTGACAGAGCTTTGATAGTTGTGCCCTGCGCAGAAGGTTTGTATTTTAGACATTCTTCTGTAATGTTGGTCTGTGTTGTGTCTGCTAATTGTTTTAAGCTTTCCATGTAAGGAGTTGGTGCTCTGTTGTTATTTTATTTTATTTTATTGCTTTTTGAAAAAAATGTCTTGAAACAAAATTGAAAAATGAATGAAGAAACACAGTTAGATAGATTTAATTGAAATTCAGCATTAGAAAAAAGACAGTTAATTTAAATTAGGAGAGTTCAGTTTTCTGCAGCTATTACATGGTTTGGGGGAAAATAAGGTAAAATAATTCCCTTCAGTATGGTTTGCATTGGCAAGCTTGTTCTCACACAGAGTTCTCACTGAAGTCAATGGAGCACTGAAAAGATTAGGCAATGATAACATTGCAGTTTGGTTTGGTGTGGTGGGTTTTCTTGTTTTGTTTTTATTTGTTTTTTCTTTTAAGATGCTGATTATATTTCAATTTTTTTTTTTTTAGACTGAATCCCATTTTTGTCTTGTAGACTTGTGGTATATGCATTCGGCCATTTTAGATTCATCTAATCTAAAATACTTAGCATTCAAAGTGATGATTACTGTTTGAATATAAATGTTTACCTGCTAGTTTAATTTAAAAAATCATTTTTCCTTTCTTGTTATTGTGGAAAATATTACTTTGTGTGCCATAAAAAGGCTTTCTTATGTATACTGGTACTCCTTTTTGGTTTTAGCTGTCTCTTTGAAAATGCAGTGATCTGTACAGAATACTTCCAGCATAAAATATTTTTAAAACTCTTAATAAAATACAGTGCTTGGTGAATACTAAATTTACAGGTGTTCCTTTAACTAGCTTTGAGGGCATTCTTTTACAGGTGTGTTGAGTACAAGGTAGTTCATATTATTAGTATAATATCCCAGGTCTGAATACAGTTCTGTGTCGCTGGCGTCAGGCAGAGCCCCATTGACTTCATTGAGATCATTGTGGAATTGAGCATCTGCCCATTTGGTTCTGGACTTTTTGCTGCTTTGGAGTGGAAACGTTCCAGCTGGTGGAGTGAACCTGACTTCACTTTGAACATGGTAGCTGTTTTGCCATGAACAACAGTATTTAGAATGATGGAACTGTAGGCTGCAGCAAGTCCAGAAATACCTCCTATTAACATAACTTTTCCAACTGCAAGAATCAGGTTTTGGTTCAAAAAATAACCCTTGACTTCTTGGAGTTTGGTAACAGTGGTCCCAGAATACCATTCTTTGGCATGTTTGCCACTGATCTGCGTAGTGTGAGATTAGTGCTGCTGTAATAATGGGCTGGGATGCTCCTAGCAAACTCTGACAAGTCTCCAAAATTTTGTAGACTCTATAAGTACTTTCACTAAAGGCTATATTGACCAGCAATATACTGCCTGTTCTTGTAGCCTTCTTAATAAGGGCATATGGCACACATGTTTGTCTTTGTAAAGCCTAGATTTTTAGTTGCTTTTATGCCTTCTTTTGGGGGCTTTTTGGTTTTATTTTTTGAACTTGTTCTTAAACAACAAAGACGATGTTGCTGTACCTACTTGAAGCTGTGTAGAGGCTAATGGGACCAGAGTCCTTATTATTGAAAAATTGCCCCTAAATAATTGACTACAAATTATTCAGGATCTTAGTTTTATGTTTCATCAAAAACACCTTAACACTGGTTCAGTACTGCCAGAGAGGGAAGGTTGCCACCTAATGAACGAACAGGCTTCCTGTTTTTTTTCTTGTGATGAGTTCACTGCCTGACACGATAAGGCAGCAGGCAGGTAAAGCTACGTTTTCCTGTGTCTCTTGATGGTAGGCAATGGATGGAAGGAGAAAAAGATCGAAGTTCTGACAAATCATGTTCCAACCCCGTTTGTAGCTGACTTACTAGGCATTTCTGAGAAAACGTGTTACAGGAAAATTGTCACTGATCAAAATAATCTTGGACTCCACAGAGATTTATGCGTAAGCAGGTGAACAAGTAATTGGGGTTGTGAGGTCAATTTTTTTTTATGTCACAATGCTGTTTCCATGTACCTTTTGAAGAGAATCACTAATTTTAATTTATAAATATGTAAATTTATATAGGTTTAACTTTCTGAGGAATTTATTGTGTGGAATAAGTATGATTTTGAAGCCCACAGCACAAGATTTTTGTTTCACTGTATATAATACAATGCATTGTTAATGGAGTCAGTGGAGTGTATCACGGACTTTAAAAGTAGTGGTAGCTATATCCTGCCAAGAGGTAAAACTATATACTTGGCCCATGGTGCCAGTAATAAAACAGTTCTTGCGCCGAATTGGACATAGAGGAGAGGTAAAATGGAACTCTGAAAACTTGGTTTTAAAAACCAGAATGAAATCTGAAATTCGGAGTGCATTTAAACAATGGTAAATCAAGGAAGTATGAGGATGGAATTACTACACAATGAAAACAATGTTCATTTTGTGTCATTTAATAAACAGTTTAACAAAAACATAATTTTAATGGAGTAACTGTTAAGCTTTTTTTATTTTTCAAATATTACTTTTTTGTGTATATATTGGTAGGTTTTTCTTTAAACGTTATACTTTGAGAACACAAAGGTTGAAAGATAAACAAAGATGCCACCCTAATCATTCTAAATTTTATGTCCACATTATCTGGTAGATGGATTTTGACTATTAATTTGGTTTTGTATGTTTTCTCTGTGTGATATTTGTGCATTATTAGATGACTAGACTGGCCAAGGCAGACCTGTTACACTTGCCTGAGTTAGGCATTGTTTGCCATGCCACTAAACCTGCCGCCAAGTGAAACCTTCATGGGGGAAATGAGATCGAAGTCTGGCCTGCTGAAGATGGACGCCCTGTCTCTGTTTTTATTTTATTTTGCTTTCTTTCCCTTGTTTCTTTTCTTTTTTTTTTTTATTTTGTCCCTTTTTTTTTGTTTTGTTCTGTTAAATCATTGTACTTGTGAACTGGTACTTCAGTTCTGTAAAAATGGTGTTTTGTAAAGGGTTCACAGTGTTTCATTTTGAAGTTGATCTGAAGCTGCTTATGAATGGTGGATGGTATACCCAGAATTTAGAATATGATTAATTTTTATGCTGTGAATTATGGATAAATTTGATATGGAATACGTTTAAGCATCTGAATTCAAAAGATGAGTACATTATGTCGGAAGACAGGAGTAGTGAAAAATATATCGGTGTTAAGATACATTCTTTCACATGTTATGCTTTATGAGTTTATCTTGGAAAAGGACAGTTGAGACTCTTACTTCTGGAGAATTAATTTTACCAAGTAAAGTCATGATCTTTCTCTGCTATTTTTCCTCTTCTCAGCAGAGTATTTTTATTTTAGGTTGCATGGTCGGTTTAAAAGAAGGCTTACTATTTATGTCTAATATGAAGAGTTTAAAATAATTATTTCTGAAATTGAACTTTCATGAATATGGAATGTCATTAAATACTTGTTTGCTTCTGATGAAACCTTGCTCCAGTGAGGTCAGTGGCAGTAAGATTTCATCCATTTGTTTTTGTAATTTTCAGAAGAAAACTGTTTACCACTCATAAGTACAAATGCAGCCTAAAGTTTTGGTTGGAATGTGTTATGTGAGGCATATTGTCTGTTAACACTGTTATTTGTGAGAAGGTTGAATCAACTCTGTTGTGTGTGTGTGTCTGTATGTATGTGTATATTGCACTTTGACATGCTCCAGTGGTGGTATTTCAAGAAGGGGGGGGGGGGGGGGGGAAAAAGAAAGAAAGCAAAAAAAACTGTCATCTTGGTCATGTCACAATCTCAGAAGCCCTGGCAGTTCATGCTGGAGTGATTGAGAAGGTTCTTATCCCTAAGTGGTGTTCTTAGTTCTTGTGGAACGGAAGCCCTGAAACAGAAGTGGTGGGCCAGGTGGTGTGTCTAGTCCTCAGGCATTGCTCTTCCCAGCCACCTGCATTGGGACCAATTAAGTTTGCTCTGGTAATGCACCAGGCTGTGCACTGCAACTGGGAAGAGCTTTACTTCTGATCTCTGTTGGATTTAGCTGTGACAGTTGAGGTACTTGCCAGTAGGTGTAATCTCTTTCATCACTGCTGCTAAATCCAATAAGACTCTTCAGTTGGATTGCACAGAAATTATTTTGTTTGTAAGTGTGCATTTTCTGTTGATTTTAAAATAGCAGGAAAATATCAATTTCTTTAATGATGTTTAGAGTAGATGTGATCTGTAAATGTTTTTAAAACAAGCAAACTTACTTATTGCAGAAGCAGTTCTTGGGCAGAGGATTAACCATGTAGTTTCAGTACAGAGAACAGGCAATTAATTTCTTCTGAGCACTTGGAGGGGGATAAAAATACTGTGATTAGTACTTCGTTAACGCAGATACTTTTCAGCATTTAGCAAAATGGATTCTGGTATGGGCTAGGTTGGATAGGGCTCTTGAGCACTTTGATAATACAGAAAAGTAACAATCATAACTGATATTTAGGACAACTGTTCACTTCTTAAGAAGCATAAGGTGTCTCTAGGCAATGCAGAGCTAATCTACATCTGCTTCCTGATTCCTTTGAAAGTGAAGAATCGATAAATGATCATAGAATCTATAATTTACTAAACACAAGAGCTTCTAACAAATCTTTCTAAGGATGTGGTATAGATGTGGCATATTTATTTTGTCTGTTTCCCTCATTAGAAAATAAATATCTTTACCTCATTTCCATTCAGCTTTTAAATACCATGAGTTTAAAAACCAAAACCAGTTATCCCTAAGCTACAGTGTCCTAATTTGTTGTGTCATAACCCACATGTTTTGTTGTATCTTTGTGGTCTTGTATTCCTTTTATAAATAAATTCACGGAGATAAAAGTCCAAAACTTAAAGCCTGTAAGTCATGAGGTTATTTGGCCTCACATATTAATCTGTTTTTCAAAACTGTCTGAAGAACAGAAAAGAAAATTTGCAAGATATTTCAGGTTTTCTTTTGTTTTTCTCACAACAGTTTGTTTTCTATAGAATTGTTAAAAAGTCTCATCTGGTCTTAAAAACTGGAGAAGGATCTTTTGAAAAGACAGTATATTTGAATATGCAGGCAAATTTTCAGGGGTCTGTCTGTAGAGATAGACTCTTTCTCATTCTTGAATAAAATAAATGAATCTTTGTTCATGGCCTGGAACTGACCAACAAGGTTTTGTATTTAGAATAAAATACTACATTGTTGAAGGACCAAAGTATTCTGGAAATAATGCTGCTAACGTTAAAATTTAGTTATGCATATTATGTGTTATTTGAAATGTTGTAAAAGTGCACTTAACTGAAAGTGTTCAGTGAAAGTGTTCAGTGGATTCCTTGAGCAACATTTGAGCAAATTACTAATTCCAATTATTTCAGCAAGATAACCCATATACTTAAAGTTTAGACTTGTATTTAAGTACCTTTCTGAACTTGACTCATTATCTATTTAGTTATGTGCCCAACTCAGTTTCTTTTTAAAAGGACTAAATGCCTGAGGATCTCTTTAAGTTTATCTGGTTAAATGTATATTGAATTGGCTGTATGTAAGCACATACTTAAATTAGGCATATACTTATGTATGTTACTGACCAAGGATCTAAATCAGAATGCAGACGCACCATTTGAGGAGCCGTTTCTGCCATTGGGTTTACTCGAGCCATGTTTGTTGATCCTGTACAAACCTGCATGTGTATCCAGTTAACTGCAAGATGCTAGCTGTCCAGGATAAGGTCTGGTTCCATAGTCATTTGCAAACATTTAAGTATTTTGATTTTCAAAATAACTGGTACATAATTCTATGCCTAATTTGCATGCACAGCTGCTGGAACTGTATATTCAAAAGCCTGTTAGTTAGCTGTATATTAGGCGGGATGTGCAGCAGAGTACCTGATACTCGTGAAGAGTCAGGCAAATCAGGTACACCTCTTATTGCATGCCTGACTTCAAAATGGGATCTGTGAAGAGTGCTGAACGTTGTTTGTGATGGCTCATATTCATGCATGTTTTTTAAAAAGCCCTGGAAGTCATTATTGCACAGTTAATTCTTAAGTGCTAATAATTGTCCTATTTCTCTCCTTTAGATAGCAAAATCAAGTGGTTTGTTACATGTTAAGGAGCAAGGTGCCTCAAAATTTAACATAAATAAAATAAATGTAAATAGGAAGCATGAAAAAAAATGGGTACTGTTATTCTATCTTTTCTATTCCACCCATGCTACGTATAAATAAGTTTCATTTAGATTTGTTTTGTCCTTTGGTCATACCCAACTATAATCCAGTTCTTGCTGCAGATCTGTAGAACAGGTTTGCAACACTTTTATCTTCTTTCTGTTTTTTTAAAGTAGTGTGTTTCCTGTGGGGTCTATTAGAGCTCATATAGCTAAAACTATACGGTGTTTTGAAACTTACCTCATATTTTGCTTTTTGATATAAATATTTCTATATTCATTTTTAAATCATGAAGTTAGGGGGTTTATAGTTAAAACATACATAGTTTGAACCAAAGCAGTAAAAACCACTGCTGCAGTATTTATATGTACCTCGACTTTCAAAACAGTGTTGAAATAAAAGCATATAGTTTATTGAAGTGCACGGGGCAGTACTAAAGGACTCGACTGGATAGCGTATAAACGATTGCACAAGTAATTTCGAATAGATCCTAGATGCCTAGCGTAATTAGAACTCCTCTAGTTTTTCAGTTTAGTATTAGTTTGTACCAGTTTAAATACTTTTGCATTCCAAATTTAATATGTTAATTCAGTTGTAATCATAATTGTTTAACTATTGAATCTTTTTATTTTTGAAGGTTTTGGGGGCTTCATTTAGCAGTCTAACTGTGATTAATGTTGAATGAAACCTGGTTTTAATTCAGATAAGATATTACTTAAAACTTTTAGCATGATGGGTGAATAGAATCTGGTTGAAACAGTAGGAAATACATATTTTGGGAAAATATAGCTTGCTTACCTGATCAGTTATGATTTTCCTCAATCTCATTAAATTTAAAGCTAATTTATCAAAGTTTCAGGTAAACTGAGGTAACTTAGAATGTGAGACAGTAGAAATCTTAAATTTTTTTCTGCCCTCCCCTCCACCACCTCCACCTTCACTTGTAGTATGTATTGTGTGGAGTCACAGTAGTTCAGTAGTTTTTATTTTATTTTTATTTATTTTTACATCCAAAGTAGGTAGCACCAGAGGAATAAAAAAAAAAAAGCACAAATTTCGGTTAGCACATACTTTGTTTTTTCTTCTTCTTCTTTTTTTTTTTTTTTTTTTTTTTCTTTTTTTTTCTCTTTTACTGATTTGGTTATTTGCCATTTCTGGGGATTAAACTTTAAAAAATGTTCTTCTTTTCTGTATCTGATGTTCTGTGTGCTATTAGTGATGCAGCCAACACGAACGGTTGTCATGTGTAAAACAACTTTCGATCACCACGAAAACACCGCCCTGGGAAAGCGTCCATGCTTGATATCGTTTGGTTCATGAACATTAAGTTTCCAGTACAGGTGACCCATAGCTCAAAGTGTTAAATAATTGTATACATTATTCAGTTTTTAAAGTAATAATCCATTAATGAGATTACTAGTCTTTGAAGTTTTGCTCACTTTTGTTTTTCCTAGTAGAGCAGGGAAAAAGGAAAAACTTAAGTTCTTATTTGTTTCTTTGTAAGGATCTGGTAGATAGATTCATTGTTATTTATTACATTTTTAAATGCAAGGGTAATTGTAAAATCATAGAACGAGTAACATTTGTGTAGTGTTCTGACTCTGTGTAATGCTTTCATTTGCTTCTTCAGGTAAAATCCCAGATGAAGCCAAAGCCCTTTCTCTGTTGGCGCCTGCTCCTACTATGACAAGCCTGATGCCTGGTGCAGGGTTGCTTCCTATACCCACACCAACCCCTTTGACTACAGTAAGTAAAATTCAGTCACTGTTTGATTTCTCTTTTCGCTATATTCAGTAGCCTTTCCTGTGTTCAGAGAACTAGAATTATCTGACGCATGGATGTTGTCCTCTTGTATGCTGGATCACTGAGGGTGTAGCTGAGGTGCCTCTTTTGAGGGTAGAACACAAGATGTCTATGCACTACCTTTCTTGGGGTTTTCTTTCAGATTATTTTGCAAAATAGGGGGTAAATACTGATTTTTGTTTATGTCCATTTTAATTGTTGTCCTTCCATTAATTTGGTTCAGTGGCAGTGCTATGCACCTCCTAACAATTTGTTAACACGTAATAGTTACGTTGACACAGTTCATTGGAATAATAAAACGCTGCATTAGGCCATTAGGCTGCTTTTACTGGATAGCTCTATGATAGAGCTTTTCACTGTTTGTCTAGCAATGTTTTCAGTATAAAAAGCATAGGAGCTAGCTGCTGCTACTTCTCTTCAGTTCCTTTTTGCTTCTGTAAGTCTTTCTTGACATCAGCAGGCTGCTGTGACCTATTCAGGGAAAACGTCAAGTTAAAATAGCAGTTTTCTCTTTTGTTACATTAAAAAAAATTGCTGGTGGCTTGTTGAGAATTTCTCACACTTGTTAGAAAATTTGTTTGCTAGAAAGGCAGCTGCTTTTTGGGTAGAGAAAATGAAATTCAAACCAGGAACTCAGCAGAACAGTTTAGTAATGATTTTTAAGTGAGTTTTTTAATAACATTCCTCAGAAGATATTTCAATTCCCAGTTCAAAAAATTAGAGCTGTATTGTCCTCATTCCCTAGGAAGTGACTGTGTTTGTAGGCAAAGAACTTACACTTAATATCCTTTGCATTTCAGCTGTAAGCAGTCTTGCCTTACATGATGTATTTGTCCAAATGGTATCTTATCTGTTCCTTTGATGGACTGATACCTATTACAGAAAAAATTCTTGCTGGGTACTGCAAATTCCCTTCTTCCCTTGCTGAACAAGGACTCAGTAATTCCTCATCTACTCCTATTACTTGTTGTGGCAAAAAAAATAAGAATATTAGCAGTGTCTGAAGGCATCTTACTCAATTTGATTGACTGTAAACATTAGACATTCAAGCCTATATATTTTCTGATTGATACACTGCATCCCTGGCCTTAACTATAGAAGATTATTTATGGGTATATTTTTATTCTTTAAAAGAAGTTCTCAGTTGAGACCTTAAAATACTGCCTGTATTCATTAGATTTAGTTTTACAGAAATGCACGAGGCAGGCAAGTGCTAACAAGTGAAGTATCTCCAACCAGTGCTTGGTGGCAAAGCATATTCTGTTCTTGTGTTTTCCAGCTCGGTGTCTCACTTGGCACTTTGGGGGCTATACCAGCAGCAGCATTGGACCCTAACATTACGGCACTGGGAGAAATACCACAACCACCAATTATGGGGAATGTAGATCCATCCAAAATTGATGAAATCAGGAGAACAGTCTATGTTGGAAACTTGAATTCCCAGGTAGCTTTTTTGTGTAATGGAAATACTAATGGAAGGTGTAGAATTGTAATTTATGGAAGAGTTTTCATTAGTGGATGACATAGGAATTTAAACTACAAAAAAAATCTTTTTGTTTACTAGTGATATTTTGGATTTTGAATGCTCCTGTGCCAGTCAGGTCAGACCAGACTGTGGCATTCATTCTGGCAGGATACCACAGAAATCACACTGTAGCTGAATTCAGTAAACACGGTTATGATTTTGTGCATTGATCAAGTGTCCTGCTGGGTTGTGTGAGCTGAGCAGTGCCTCAGAAGTCATGAGACAATGGTAGCTGTCCCCCATGACTCTGTACAGTTGGTTAAGTACAGTAAGATGCAATGATGGGTCCTAGTGGAAGCTGCAGAATTAGCATAAATACCTTTTGAGTTTCTGTAACAGGGAAGTTAGGTCTGTCAGTAGCTTGGTTTTTCAGCAATTGATTGAATTAATTGAAAAACTCTTAGCTTTTGGCTGCTGGCAATGTAAGTATATTTTATTTTGGGATTTTGACTGCCAGAGTAGCTACTATTGTAAAAGTACTAATGATTGCAGTAAGATAAAACAGGCTGGAAGTGAGTAGAAAAAAACCAGATAATAGTTAAGTATTGTAATATTGTTTGTATTTTTTTTTTATTAATTTATCAAAATTCACAATCAGTTGCTTGGACTCAGGTGTATAAGGAAATTCCTCATCAGTTATTTCAAGTGACTTGCCTGAAAAGTGCAAAATCCTTTGCAAATGCTTTTTCAACCTAGATGTAGGACTTTAAGGCTTGTGGTTGCACTATTTAAAATTGTAGTATATTCTTTAGATTAATGAAAGAAAAAATACCTGTCTTTCTTAAAGTGTAACATTACCAAATTCATGTTGCCAGTTTAATAATGGTGAGATATCTTTCCAAAATCTGTAGCTCTTAGATTACCTAATATATTGGATAAGTGGTTTTCATTATGTATTTTACTTCAGCTGAGCTCTTCGACTCTTTCTAGACTACAACAGCAGATCAGCTGCTTGAATTCTTTAAGCAAGTTGGAGAAGTCAAATTTGTGCGAATGGCAGGTGATGAGACACAACCAACACGATTTGCTTTTGTGGAATTTGCAGACCAAAATTCTGTACCGCGAGCTCTTGCCTTTAATGGAGTTATGTTTGGAGACAGACCACTGAAGTAAGAAATTAGTTATCCATATGACTATTGAATGAGAGATTTCTTTTGTCCTTGTAAATTTATGACTCTGATGTGCAGGAAACTGTTGTGTTGAGTATATTCTTCACTATAAGGACCAGTTGTTAGTCAGCTCAGACATATTTATAAACTCCAATTTCAAGGTTGACCATAATTTTCTCTGAGAAGAATATGGATGGCATTGAGTGAAATATATTTCTATTTAATCTTGAGGTAGTGGAAGCTATAATACTGAAAGAATCTGCAAAGTCTGTAGTACTAATTAAGCTTCTATATGATTTGTTTGTAATTAGTAGGCCTTAACATAGAGATTTGATCTGAAATGGAGAAATAGATTCCTAGACTTCTACTAGAAAATACTTTAACACAGAAATTCTGTGCTGCATTTATTTAAAAGCTGTAAGATTTGAAAGCAATAAAAGACATTTCAGATACTTAGAACAGATGAGTGTTGGGACAAATCTGTAGTTTTGCAGAAGTTTTTAGTTGTATTGTGGAACATGTACACCACAGTGGAAGTTGAGGTCTTTTTCTTATTTGTTTTTCATTTTCCCTTTTCAAGGGTTTGGGAGTTAAAGGTTTTGTTTTTCCTTACTTTAGAATAAATCACTCCAATAATGCAATAGTGAAGCCACCTGAGATGACACCACAGGCTGCTGCCAAGGAACTGGAAGAAGTGATGAAGAGAGTAAGGGAAGCCCAGTCTTTCATATCTGCTGCTATTGAGCCTGGTAGGTATATTACATGCATTACCTAACAAGTATGTTCTGTGTGTACCTTGGCACATCCTTTTAAGAGCATTTTCAAACAAAGGAAAAGGGTACTCAAAGGTGAACAATACATGTTGTAAAAAAAAGAAAATAATCAAAACTGTGTTCGTGCAGCAGAGCAGTGGAATTAAGCTTACTTTTATTTCATCATGTCTCATTTTCAGATACATGCTCACTGAATGTTTTCAAAAATACAAAATTAATACTAAATTAATACGTAATGTTGGTGCTTTTTAAGTTCAAAGTACTTTAAAAGTTTTAAAAGAAAATGCTTTGTATTTTATTTTGTTTTATTCTCTAGCACTGATTAATGCCATAGTTTAATGATCAGAGGGAGCTAGCATGGTTCTGAAAGGAGCAATAGTGCGCTTTCCTTACCTGCACCAGGTTAATTTTGTCTCTGTATAAGCTCTTTTTCATGCTGGCTGAAGACTGTGTGCATCTTCATAACCAATGGGATCAGAGAATGAATCTGTGATAAAACTTAACGTATTATAAAGGACCTTTTTCATCAAGATTGGTTCCCTGATCCATGTTAACTCTGAGATATCAGGCCAATGAAGAAGGTTTTGGTGGGTTGAGAGGTTAGACAGACATTTCTGTGCTGACCTCAGCATAAAAAAATTCTCAACTTGTTAAACATGCAGTTGAGATCCTCCTTTTTCTTTTCATGAGAGAGATTTTGCCATTCTTCTTACTAACAAGCCCAGACTTTGTCGTAGATAGGTTAGATAGTGTGGAATCTTGAGGTTTTGGGGGGGTTTTCAGGGGCGGGGTGCGGGGAGTGCATGGATGAGTATTTTCTGTTGTTTTTTAGGGCTGGAAGTGAAATGTCTCTAACCTGTCCTCAGTGTTAAGCAGCAAAATGGTGGGGTCCCTGTTAAGGTTTCTGTTGACTTCCTGGCCTTTGGATCAAACTTTTCACTCTGTTCTCTCTATCCCTTCCTCTCACAAAACAGTGTTTGAGGAATTAAAGTTCAGTATTTGTACAGTGGTTGAAATACCTAAAGAAAGTACTAATTACTATTTACATTTTATGCTTGTTTTTAAAATTATGCCCTCTAAATTTACTCTATTATTCTCAGGTTATTTAAAAAAAAAAAAAAGTAATCATATTAAATAATAGACCAAGAAGAGAACATGTTGTGATCTTGTGCATTATGGCAGCAACATAAATGCCATTCCAAATAGAGCTAGCTGTGTATAATTATCTGGTTTATGTGTACTGCTGCAGGATGGCTGCACTCAACGAGTATGTGCAATGACTTTCTTGGATGTTTCTGAAGGATATTTGCAAAGAAGGAAGATGTGCAAAGAGTAGGCCCCTTGCACTCTATGTGGTACATTCCACTTGTGCCAGATTGTTAACTGGGATCTTTAAATGTTCTGAGCTTACACTGCAAAGTGGTTTTTTCCTCTCAGAGTCTGGAAAGAGCAGTGAAAGAAAAGGCGGTCGATCTCGTTCCCATTCTCGTTCAGAATCCAGATCTAGCTCAAAATCCCGATCTAGAAGGAAAAGGTCACACTCCAAACACAGGTAGGTATGGTTTTAATTTTGGACTAAAGGAACATACTAGGGTTTTTTGAGTGGTGATTGTACTGAGATTTCTTACTGAGTTATAAGACAAGTATCTCTGTAGAGAATATTGCTGAGTTACGCTGAGCAGATCAGAGTAACCAGGAACTTGGCCGTGTACAGATACTCTTTCCGTCTCAATGCTAAGTATTTTCATTATTATTTCCAGTTAAAACACGCTAGAAGGCACTTTTTGTGCTATGTAGCGTAGCCATTTCTGTGATTTCCTGGTACCTTTTGTGCCATGTACAATTTTGTGACCTGTATTTTAAAAAAATAGTTAGCTGTGTTTTGTGCATCGAACAGGTAGTTTACTGTTAACACCCTGAGCAGATAGGTTGGCTGGTTTTGCTAGTAGAAAGTTCCTGATGTCTGAACTTCTAAACATTGATTTTACAGATTTAGTATTTTTATTTATTATACTGTAAATGTGAAGCTGTGGTTTTTAAAAGCAGCAGAAAAAGGCACTAGAGGCCATTTTTCCTTCTTCAGATTTTGTTTGCTTTGCTAAATTTGTTCAGTTCTGAAACACATTTTGGAATATGGGAGAAAATAAAATTACTAGATCACCACTCAAGTATATGTATTAAGACTTCTTCCAAGAATGAGACAGTGTTGCTATGTGAGACTTACAAACGCTTTGTGAAATTGCTCAGATTCTTTCAGTGTCAGGAATGGCTTCTGAGCATTTATGTCATCAGTCTAAAGATACTTTGCTACGTTAACTATGAAAAGGGAAAAAAAACCCAACAAAACAATGTATTTGGTAGGTTAGTTTTAAAAAGTGAGTGTGGTCAGTGTTGCAGCAACAGCTCTATTTCATCCTTTCGTGCATCATCTTTTAACAAGGCAACTAGAATTCTTTTAGATACTGAAAAGGCAGACAGGTGGGGTTATCACCAATTATACTACCAAACAAATATGCTCTAAAGTGCAGACTTCAGTTTTGCAATAGCAGGACACCACAGTACATGTTATTTAATGACCTCAAAATATGAGGTACCTTTTTAATGCAAGAGGAATAATTTGGCTGCTTCCTTATTGCTTGCTTTGCTGTTTCTTTAACTCAGGACATAACTGAGAAAACATCTTTTGTGTAACAATGCAGTCATCTCAGTACTATTCTGTATTAACAAAAACTAAATTGATTTTTAGCAGATAAACTTGGATTTTTTTCATTTGTGAAAAACCTGTGCTTTATGTGAAACACCTGTGCTTTAAACAGCTTTCAATAGTGATGTTTTGTTGGGGTTTTTTAACAATTTACTGCTACTTCTGTCAGTTTTGAGAAGATGCTGAAAAAGGCCAGTCTGATCTGTTGAGGCAACTTCATCCCTAAGAATAAACTATCCTTACCACTTCCCTGTTATACTGTCTTGTAAAACAAATAATTTTCATCTCTATGATATAAAATTTATTCAGGGTCTTATTTTGACTCATTTTTAATTAGTTTTTCCTGTAGTTAGTTTGTAGTTCTGCACTGATAAGCAGAACAAAGCTGTAGGTAAAAAATTACTGCCTTTCCACTCCTCTTGGTATATATACTCTGTGTGTTTGAGCTGCAGGAGACAGGTGGAGCTGGTATGTTTTGTACCTCCCTGTTCTTCAGGATTTATTGGGTAATATGCATGGCCTTTCTGTCTTTGGCAAGTTAAAACTTCATAGTACTTTAACCTCAGACAGAATATCCAGTCGTAGCTTTTTGAAACTTAATGTTCAAATTTAGCTTTTTATTTTTGCTTTTCCTAGGACATATGATCTTCAAAAATAGGGACTATTTTGTAAAAAAAAAAAAAAAATATATATATATTTTTTTTTTTTTTTAAAAAAAAAGGGAGAAAATTTAAAAAATTAATTATTAAGTAATATTTAGAAGTTATTTTCTTCATCAAATCTGCGACTGTACTGTATACATTTATCAGAAGACTTTAATTGGATTTTAATCAGAGTATATGTGTACATGGCTTGCATTCCTTTTTTATCATGTAGTAAATGCTCATTCCTTGAGAATTTTTGTAGTTTAAATGCAATCTAACAAATCCTTCCAACTGAAAAGGTAACTTGACTAAATGCTGAACCACAGACAGTGGTCTGGTTTTTGTTTTCGTTTGTTTTTTTAAAGTGTATTTAGATTGTAAGTCTGGAGAACAAAGTGAAAACGGACCAGTTAAAGCCATCTTTCCTCAGTGACCAAGACTACAATAAATGACTGGGCCTGGAAAAGAAACAAAATATAACTAATTATTTTTATAAGCTGTTACAAATTGTCTATAATAGATTTTTTTGCACTGTAATTTACTAAGGACAGCTATCCTCCAGAGTGTTCATGGAGGTTATGATGAAACATGGGTGTTACTTAAACAGTGCATTGTTTCAAAGAAGGGCATGAACACCTGCAAAAATGTTGTTAGGCAGTATGTTACTGAGGTGTAACTCTTTATATAATTGTATGTAGTGAGGCAAGTTTTATGGTTTTTTTCCTTTGTTGGTTAACCTAATTTATATGAAGTTTCAATATTAAAGTATTTTTCTCTTGGCATTGTTCATACAGAAGTAGATCTGGCAACAGATCAGTGTCAAGACACAAGGACAGACGCCGAAGTCCCCTGAAAAAACGGTCTAGATCTAGGGAGAGGCGGAAATCAAGAAGTCGCTCTCAGTCTCGGTGAGTTCCATTCCTAAGAAATTATAACTGTTCTTCTGAGCACACAGTACAGAGTTTGTGGGAAAAAGAAATAAATCCAGCAGACCCTTTAGGTGATGGTGAAGGGTGGAATTTTTAAATGCTTTACCCTGTCCCTAGGCTTTGTCTATGGGACGGAAGGCTAGATAGTAAAATTTAATGCTGTTTGTACTGGTTTTGTCTGGAATAGAGTTAATTTTCTTCATAGTAGCTCATACAGTGCCTGCTGGGGTTTAACCACCACACCGAAGTACCTAAACTTTGATGGTCTAGTCTACATTTATACCAATGTGCAAGCTGGCTGAAAACAGGTAACTTGAATTGCCAGACTTGGTTAATAGGTTAGGAATGTTCTGTGTAGCCTGTGCAACCCACAAAAAAGTGGATAATGCTTCTTCCATCTGCATCTGTTGAGAAGGTTGGAATCAGGCTGAACTTGATCCCACATTCTGAGAACGTTTATAGAATCTTGGTGCGTGAGCCTTTATTTGCAGCTTTGGGTATCTCATATTGGCCATACACTGCTGTGGGCACAAATGCATGTATCTGTTACATGGCGTATTTGCATTTAAGGATCTAATACATATGTATGTAGATATATGAAGGGGGCCTACAAGAAAGCTGGAGAAGGACTTTTTACAAAGGCAGGTAGTGATAGAACAAGGGGTAGTGGCTTTAACTGGAAGAGGATAGGTTTAGATTAGATACTAGAAGGAAATTCTTTCCTGTGAGGGTGGTCAAACACTGGAACAGGTTGCCCAAGGAAGTTGTGGATGCCCCCTCCCTGGAAGTGTTCAAGGCCAGGCTGGATGAGGCTTTGAGCAACCTGGTCATTTAATGGAAGGTGTCCCTGCTGATGGCAGGGGATTGGAACTAGGTCCCTTCCAACCCAAACCATCCTCTGATTCTATATTTTATGTAGTCTATTCATTTTTAAGTCTGATTGTCTTAATTACTGAACAGTAAGATTCCAACAAGATAATAACATCATTTTCTGAGGGATGAAGTAGTGAATAATCACAAACCAAAAATGCCTATTGGACTAGCTTCCTGAGTAGAAGTTACGGTACTTTTCATTCTGTTTCATCTCTCTAATTCCCCTGATTCATTTAAAGAGAGCTTCATACTTAGGTTATGCAGTTGCCTCTTGTTTTTAAGGGAAGAAGTTTTGTGGGAAAGAGATCTGCAGATCTGTGGACCTCAGTGGAAACAGGAATAGGCTATATAGCTAGCTGGGCTTTATTGATGGATCCTTTTGATTTATCTGTTGCTGTTGTCTGGAGCTTCTTGAGATATCTCCTCACTGGAAGGGGCAAGTCCAATGAAATCTCTGTGATAATTTAACTGGAAGACCACTTCCTGGGTCACTGGGATTGTGTACAGGGATTGTGTTGCAGGGATTGTGTGCTGTTGGATCATTAATGATCTTACATTCCTTCTCTGAGACTTCCAATGAAGTTGTCAGGTCACAGTGCGTACAACAGCCTACTGTTTATTAGCAGTTGAGAAGAAGGTACAGCCAAACACTTAATCCATTGAAGAAATGTGGGGACTGTGGATCTTTCGTGTGTGAAAGAGTCTCTTTGAGAATCTTTAAAAATGCTAGAATAGGTACCAGTACCAATAGACACAGCAACTTCTGTCACTCTGGTTCTCTTGGACATGTAAAGGCCTTCTAATCACCTGCTTCTCTTGTGCTCTCTCTTGTTTCTCTCTCTGAAAAATTGTTCATTTTCACATGTCCTCGAGGCAAGTGTAGGAGTCATGTGTGTCTTTGCTAGAAAGAAAAGGTGGAGTCTCACACTTCCAAATAATCCTATACCAAAATGCAATCTTCTAGCCAAAGCTATGATCTAATAAATTTTTGTTTAGCTTGACAACTAGAACATCAGTTGGAACTTTCCTCGCTATTACTCTTTTTATGAACATGTGTCATTTTCCCTGTCCCAAAGAACCTGACTTGCTGTTATCTTTGCTTCTGTTTTTACTATATTAACAATTTTTCAAAAATTTTAAAATTCCTAATGACGTTACAGATAATTCAATTTTCTTAATTGAGTTTTGACCTTACATTTGCCTTTTGATAGAGTTTGGTGAAATTTTATCCCTGTGTTTTTATTTCTGTGTATTAATTGTTGTAGGACTTCCAAGCAGTTCCAGAATATCCGTGTGAGAGATACAAGATTACTGTCAGTCAGATGTCATTATTCATGTGGGAGTGGTTAATCTGCAGTCCATTTTATGTGGGCACACTTTTAGTAGGGTAGATTTATAGATCATAGAGTTCATCTTACTCCTGAAAACATGTAGAAACTATGTGTGTATGTATATAACAACATAACTTAGCTGAAAATACATTGCTCTCATAAATGTAATAACATTGCTCTGAAGATCACAACTTTGATTTCATTTTGGCCTACCCTTCTCCAGTTTGGTTTCCAAATTTTTCCTAGTTATATAAACTTTCCCTCATGGTGAACAGAGGTGGAAAATTAAAATACTGAATAATGAGAATTTTTTGACAGAGATACATACTTTATCTTGAGCAATTAATGTATGCTAAAAAGTTACTTGTAATTTTAATTGGAAAGTTCAAAGATTAATTAATGGATTTTTGTTTGGCTTTTCACAGGGACAAGAAAAGAGACAAAGAAAAGGTCAAGGAAAAAGAAAAGGCCAAAGAAAAGGAGAAAGAGAGAGACCGAGACAAGGAGAAGGAGAGAGACCGAGACAGAGACAAAGACAG